AAATTAGTAAATAGTTTCCTATTTGCTATTGTGTTCTTATGCAACTGCTCTTATTAGGCTTTTTTGCAATTGTAATGCTGCTGACTTTACATAATATTTGAACATTTTGCTCTCTGCATTGGGAAATTTACTAGAAGTAAATAAAATAATAGGCATCAACATATAAAATCACCACCGCCACATGATGATAATTTTATGACATTAAGTTCTTTAGGCTTTAAAATAAGCCTCTGGCATTTAAAAATGATGCCTCTGGTCTTACGGACACAATGTTAGTTTCTACCATCAAAATAAAGCCTCGTTGCTATAATTGCTATACAAGCCCATGGCAGCATTTGTGATTTTATCCTAATGGACGTTTTTAATGGGCACAAATTATTTTCACTTATTAATACTGATATATATTTCATCATGTTTTAATACCTACTGAAAGTAATTTGGCACATTTACTGTTTTCTTCTAAAATAACTGCTATTCTTGAAACAGCATAGCTTGAATTTTAATTATAAATTGGCTTTCTTTTTTTCTCCTAAGTAAGAACACCATGAATGCTTTGTACAATCTAATTTTATAAACATGTAGCATCGTGCTGGGTACTTGAAAACTCAAGCATAAATAAGACATATTCTCTGGTCTCAAAATGCTCGTAATGATCTGCAGCAGTGGACAAGTAGACAGATAAAAAGAAGATAATATAATATGAGCAATACCAGCTATACGAACAAAGGGCTATACTAGAGAGAGAAAGAAGTGTCGATTTTCATGAATGAAAAGAAGAGAATCGTGGATGGTTAAGTAAAAGTACTGAAATTTAAAGTAAATCTAAATATAAATTAGTGACTGATCATTACATTCATTCAGCAATCTGGCTTTTGTGTCACTGATCCTACATGGTAGACACTGTGTTAGTCACTGGCCCACAAGATGTGACCTAAGACCTTAAGAGATTCACAACCTTAATGCATTTTGTCAAGCCAAAATTGTGATAAGGTTGCTTACCTGCCTACCTTGCGCTATTATGGCTTTTTCCCCTCTCATTTTATTAAACTGAAGTCATACACAAAATGAGATTTTAAGTGCAAAGGCTATTTCTTTTTACATTCTTTTCATTTCTAATGTACCAGAAAAAGTAATAGCTTGAAGAGTCAAGTAACTATTAATTCTAATGCTACTACACTCCATGTTCTTATAAAATTCATTTATTCATTTACCAGTTATTCAAACAAAATTTATTAAGCTCTTATTGGAATACAAAGATGGATAAGATGAATGATTTATTCTCTAGCAGAAAAAACAAACATGTACAACTGGCTGTTACCTGCTGGACCTGAGGTTCTGGAAGAGAAGCAGAAATTAATTTGGGGGTAGAGGCCAGGGGTTAACTTACAGAGAAGACAATGCTTGAGAATTTTCCCTTGGTGAACTGCAAAGCCACAATACATGCTGGTAAGAGCATGTGAGAAAATATGCAGACCTCCAACCATTGGAAGATCTGGTTCCTGCTGCTCCTCTTCCAAGACTCTTAGGAGTTTTTCTTAGGAGTTCTGCTCTCATCCCTCATACAATGAAGACATTTCCTTCTATGCTTTTCTGATTACAAAATTTGCTGCTCAACTAAAGTGCCTTATTTCCTTCATGTTCTTTAGTAAATCCTCTCAACATAATTCTTGTTTCTCACATTTTGAAATATTCACAAGTAATATTTTCTCTCATTAAAACATATACTTTGTTTCAGGACTTCTGAATAAAGATGTATTTGCAATAATATTTCCACTCAGGTATTTTTTGCAAGATTTTATTTAAAATCTCAGGAGCCACACGTATTGATTCAGATTTGGGCAGGGGGTTAAGAAAAGTAAAATAGGCCATATCCCAGTTTACCAAACACTCCTACCTCTAGTCTCTGCAAGATGTTGGACAACAAGCTAGAATGAAACCCATTAGTCTTTCTGCAATAAACACTGAAAAGTTCTCTATAAAAAGCAAGAAAAGATTATTAATAGCCTCACATCATTTCAGGCTAGGATTTTTTCCAAATAAGTTATGTGAAAGTATTTGATTTTATCATTTTTTTCAGGTTTCAGAAGTTTTAAAGAGGAATTGCAGACCTACATTATGGTGGCCTGCATTTTAAAGTTTCAGAAACAGGTTTTAAAAGACCTGTTTATTAAGTAATGGAGCATAGCACAAACCTAGTACCTTTCCTGTTAACTTAGCTAGTAATTATTATCCTCTGTGTAGGTTCCTCATTAGGTATCCCTATGACCATTTGGAAACCACTGTTAAATCTCTGAATTTCTTTTTTTGTCTGTTTTATTTCTCTTCTGGCTCAAAATCGTTATTGCCAGATTTCTCCATACCGTGCCCGATCCTAACTTCTCAATCCGGGAGTTTGCTATTGCTATTATCTGTCCCATTTCTTCTGGCAATGAAGGTCTTTCTACCAAATTGGTGATGTGAAAATGCACTTCCTATCAACTGAATTAGGATGGATGCATGGGACCTGGGGAATTTACATTTCTCACAAGAATAACTCAGAGTTTTTAAATACCAACAGTTGGATACAGGCAACTGTATTTTGTGGCAAAATTGATGACCTCTCTTCAGGGAGTTGCTCCCCTCCTGCAGGTACTGGTTTAAACAACTTGCACTGTAAAATTATAAACACATCACTTCCTGCTGTTCATAACTACCATAAGAAACATTTCTTGGGAGTTTAATCAAAAATGAGGTGAACATAAGCAGATTACATTAAATATACTAATATTTTGAAAGATAACAAGGCTAACTGGGCACAATTCTTTCTATAGTCAAGAGTCTTGTTTTTGTTGTTGTTTGTTTTTGTCCACTATCAAACATTACATTTTAATTGGTTTTCCTTATGGACTCAAATTCATTCTAGCCTCACCTAGGAGTGAAATATTAAATGGTGTAACACTTGTACATTCCAAACAAAACTTTCCTGAATAAAGAAGCCATATACTTCTAGTGAGTCCTTCGATGAAGGGTCTGCATCTTCTTCACTCATTTTCCTAATAATATGAAATATCTATAAGGCAGAAGGATCAGGAGGATACCCATGAGCTAACGAAAGCATAATATGAGTCTTTTTTAAAGATACACACACACACACACACACACACACACACACACACACACACTCAGCAGTAAGAAGAAACAATTAGGAAGCCACTTGTATCCTACATCCAGAGCATTTTGATTCAGTACTAGGGATATTAACCTAAAGGGGATATTCACTATTGTAATCATGTCAGCCTGCACTGGAGAATTCAGGAGCACAAATCTATTACCAGACCATCTGCTAGTTCCTCAACTTAGCGCTGAGAAATGATTCATCGATATAAGCACATAGGCAAAATCTATCTTTTTTAACAACTGATAATGTTAAAAAATACACTTTGATTTTGATGAAGGCTGATCTTACTAAAATAAAGTCTGAATCTAGTTAGAAAATCAATTTCCATTTATATCATCCACTTAAGTGTCCCTGTCATTATCCATCTTTTATTTGAATATCAAGTTTTGAAATGAGTGTGAATGTCTTTTAAGGGCAAAAGCATTACAGTGCTAGCAGCTACTTACATTTCAACTCACATGGCAACCACCCATATTTGAGACAATGCTTTTATAGGTGGTCATATACATCACATCAGAAACAATTCCCTTGAGATGTTTACACCGAATGAGCTAATGTCCTTTGTGAATATTTTTTACTTGTAAATAACCCTAGGTTATTGATAGTCATTGATAAAAGCAAGAACCCTCACTGGCTGAATACTGCAGACTCAGTTTATGATAATATGATTAGTTATATGAACAGTCCTGCTTAGGCACTGTCTTGCTAATTATAATATTATAAATATTAATGTCACAGCCTTTCTGTTTGATTGCTACTCGTGGAGTCATTCATCATGATATTTTCCTGGAACCCATATTGTAAGATTTTCCTTCCTTACCTCTTTTCTTTTTCATTATTGGTTTCACAATCATACACATTTTTCTTCAAGACGGTTTTACTTTTGTCTGTGTGTTAGGAAAGGGACAGTTATATTTCTCACTAGAACTAACCAGTTATATGATGCTTCTTTTATTCTCAGAGTCCCACTCAGCCATCCAAAGCAGAGTACCCGGGGTTTTTGTTTTTCATTCTTTTTCATGTGACCTGTTTCAAGTTAAGATTCATTTGAATTATTAAATGCTTCCTTAAAGAATCTTTTTATACTGCCTCTCTTTTTTTTAAAGTTAATTATTGATGCAGTGACAAGCTGAAAAGACTAAGAATTGTAATTTTTTCCTCCCTTCATTCAGGACTCAAGAAATGTCTTCTGACAATGGTTGTCTATTTAGAATAGTACAAAGGAAATACAAAGGCAAAATGCTGAATGTTGTTTTAGAAAAGAGTTGCTAAAATCACCGTATTATACAAAATGTAAATGTAGTGTATATTTCCCAGAAAATAGCAGTTAGTGAGAAAGTTGGGACATAACCTTTTGAGCCCAGGTTTAACCACACAGCAGAAGCAGTTACAAAAGATGCTGATTAGATTTTAATTTTTTTTTTAAAAAAAAAACTTCATCATGTTATTCAGGACTCCAGTTGATATGATTGTCTTGAAAATAGAAAGGTAATGTTATAATTTCCAGAGCTTGTTAAAGAATAAAGAAATCTCTAGTCTCCCACTGGAAAGAATGCCAGTCAACACCACAGTAAGCAAGAATTTGGAAGCACTTTACACACAAACTTCAATCTTGTTCTTTTATGTGACCTTGTGTTACACTGGTTTTTATAAAAAGGTAACTCACAGATCCATCATAGAGCAGTAATCAAGCCTCCTTCAGAATGAGTCTATTGCAAAAATCACATCCGCCAGGCACCGTGTTTTTTCTGTGAGTGAGAATGTGGGAAAGCCAGCAAGATCTGAAGTAGAAACACATTGAAGCAGAGTTCTCAAGAATAACACAAGAGAGGTGAATACATACCTTTCCAGTGAGTTCAGCAATAGGTGGAACCGGTTTCCCTTTCTGATGACTCACAGTGGCTGGACTCTGTCCATCCCAGTCTTGTAGCTCTTCAATGCTCATCAAATAAAGCAGGGCTTTGAGGCCAGTGCAGTAGTCTTCAATCACAGTGAAATCCTGATTCTGAATAGCACTGCATACCTGGGAAAGGCAGAGAAACCAACCCAACATCAAACAAAGAGCTAAGACTGCAAACAGATTTACTTACCATTCATCAAAAAAAAAAAAAAAAAAAAAAAACCAAAAAACAAACAAACAAACAAAAACATTTATGGGATGTATAGGTCCTATTTTAGGCATGATGGATCAATCATTGGCTAAGGTTTGGTGGGGACAGTAGGAATGAGAGAACGCAAAGGAGAACTTCCAGACAGGATGATTATTGTCATCAGTGATGCGGTGATGTATGTGCATTTTTAAACACATTAAACCACATGTTTTAAATAGGTATAGTCTATTGTATGTCAGCTATGCCTCAGTACATGTGTTAACATTGGATCAAATGGGTTGAATTTTTAGAGAGTAAAGTTGGCAAACATAAGAAAGGCATTTCAGTTCTCTCATTTTCCTTATACTGAGATGAGCTTCCTGGAGATACAGTTGTTCTCAAACCTGCTAGTGATCAAACCCAGGATAGCCTAGTGTTCATCCACACGAGTCAACCTTCGTTTACCCTTTTTATGCCTCATTCCTATCTGTTTTTTTTTTTTTTTCACTCTCTATTACTCAGGTCTTTCCTCTTCTTAATTTGCAAAATTCTTTGATATAGAAAAATCTTTTCACAAGATTTTCCAACTGCCCAGAAGAAATTTTCTTGTACATATGATTAACCACAAATCACTTTTAGGTCTTGGGGTATTTGGGAGCTTTTGAGGAGCCCAGAACAAGTTGGCTTTTCTTTTACTTAAATATCTTGACTTGTGATTACTGAGTGATTAAGAATAATGTCCAAGAAAAATCTGTGTGTGTCCACTACAGATGACTGACAACTCAATCCTCAGACTGAAACTTACAGAGGGAAGAGCCTTGCCTAGGTTGGTCATTATATTATCCCCAGTAACTAGCACAGGGTTTGTCCCTTATTCTGCTCTCAACACATACATGTCGAATGACGATTAATAAGAGAATTTTAAATTTGAGTCACCACATGACATAAATAGAAATACAAAATCTAGTCTTAAGAAAAATTGAATTAGAGAAACTGAGCTTTCCTTTAAAAATGTAATTGGGATTTCATGATTGCGATAGGGATTCAGGATAGTGCTTAGAGAATGTAGATTTAGCTAAGCATTTCCAAGCTGGTTATTTCCAAAGATATTGCTTCAATGTGATACCATATATAGGTTTCTGAAACACATTTATAATTAACAGGATGCTGTCCTTGTCTAAATAGACAAACATCATTCCACATTCAAAATTTATAAGACAGATTTCAACATTTTTCCAAATCTATTTTACCAATCTATTTAATGAATTAATTATCCAAATAAATTTAAGCAAAGCAGAACTCATCTCCTCTTTTGGGGGTGGGGGATACCAGGGATCGAACTCATAACCTTGCACTTGCCAGGCAAGTGCTTGTGCCACTGAGCTAAAGCCCTTCATCTTATTTTTCCTAGTACATCTCTATGGTATCCATGGGAGATTGGTTCCAGGACTCCTCCACAGATACTGAAATCTGTAGATGCTCAGGTCACTATATAAAATGGGCAGTAAAATGTAAATAGCTGCCATACTTTGTTGTTTTTAAATAATAAGGACAATATTCATTGCAAGATGTGGGGTTTTTTACCCAAACATTTTCAATCGATAGTTCACTGAGGTCACGTGTGTGGAATCTATGGGTGCAAGGTAGACTGTATATATAAAGGTGGTTGGCAATGTTAATCAATAGAGAAAAGTTGTCTCAGATTGGAATGAAAATAGAGGAAATACCTGAAAGTAAAAAAATAAGTAAGATTCTGTATCAATATCTTTTAAAACCTTCTAGGTTCTTAAGTAAAATTTGTCTATCATATTATCTGGTACCTAGTTGATACTAAAAGTTGGTTGAATTTAATGAAAGCATACTAAAAGTTTCCACAATTGGGAGTGTTGGGAATGGAGAGAAATATGGGTGGGTTGAGGGAGAGTATACTGGCATCTTAGAGGAAGGAGATCATAAACAACACCAAGTAGAGGAGATTCTAGAGTGTTAAATCAATCACTGCATAAAAGTTAGGACATTAGATGTGAAAAGTGAGCATGACATTTGGCATTAGAAAGATACATATCTGTGGTTTTTTGCTTGTTTGTTTTTGTATACGAGAGTTGGTGGTTCAGTGAAGAAACTGTTTTTGTTGTGTTTGTTGGAGGCTTGAAGAATAGATGAAGCTGTGAAACTGAAGAAATGGCGATAGACTGTTTTTATAAGAAATTTGGTGCTGTAAGAGAAAGGGAAGATCTAGGGACACAGCTTAGTCTTTTGTATTTTATATTTTAAAGGATAAAAGTAGCTGTATTAAGGTGATGTAATCATTTTTACATTTCAGAATTGGATATGACTTATGTGCATTAGATTTTTTTTCAAGCTTGGCCCATCAAGTGTGATTTAAAAACAATATTATGTCTAATGTGATGTCTAATATTGGCCAGATATTCTGCTAAATACTTTAAATGTATTTCTCATTCATTTCTCAAAATTAATCTAAAATATAGGCTTAAATTTTAGTTTTATTTTGCAGTTGTGGGAAAATAAGACTTTAGAGAACTGCAATGACTGCTTCAGGGTACACAATTAGAAAGTTGCAGAGCCAGGGCCCAGAATCATAAAATCTAATGTGAGCTAGAGACAGACACTGGCAGAGGAGAAACTGCTTTACTGTACCCACAGTCATCTTTTCTTCTAACAGTTTTATTAATGAAAATATGAAAATTTGGATAAAATTATCTTCAGCCATAATACAATTATTTTTAAAAAGTCCATCTTGCTAAATGAAAACTGTGAATACTTTACTTTCTTGTACTAATAATACTAACTCAAAAACAAAAGGCAGAAACCAAATTCCTTCACTGCCTACTTTGTAGTGTTTATGTTACTACAATGCAGCAAACAACAAAGAGTAACTCATAGATACAAACTCAAACATTTTCTATGAAGCCTATTCACAGTATGTAAAGAAAATACTCCTCAGGAAGAACAATTCGAGCATTAATTGGGCTTGTAATAACTTTCTCATGGTTGAGAAGTATTTTTTTTTCAGAACAGTCATAAAGAACATCATCATAACTTCCCTTACAGGTTTTAAGCTTATGCAAGTCAATTGATGCTTTACTTAAACCTCTTTGTTTACTGTGAGGTCCCATTTTTAATAGCATATGCTTTTATGTAGTCTTAAAATAGCTTGCTAAATGAACACAGGAAATCATATTTTGAAAATCATTTATTTTATGGAGTGTTCATGAATACTGTAAAAACCGGCTTCCCGAAGTAATCTAGAAATATATTACATGGAGTGAACAATAAAATTTATCTTAATCTTTTCTGTTTTTTCTAATGGGAAAATACAAAATTCAATGATTCTCCTAATCTATAAATGTGGCATAGTCATATATGCTAACCTTAGCAAAAGGATGGAGTGCATAGACTAGGTATCTTTGAACTCCAGAAGAACATGAAAAGATCTAAGACTAAGATGGATCCTTCTTTCCTATCCTTTTCATGATCATTATCTTAGTGTTGTGGTCTGTACACTGGGCTCTATCCAGAGATGTGAAGAAGAGACAAACATGACAGAGAAGGAAAGACTACCGACAACAGCTGAGCATGGCCAGGATGTGGGCAGCACTGGGTATTCTGGAGATGACCATGAGATATGGGTGCTGGAGGGACCACTTCAGATACACTTATGCATGTGGCAAATTTTACCTGGTTTAGATACATTCTTGGACAACATCATTTATTTCTGCTTTCCAATGAGATTAAACCCATTACTTTTCCTGAGAGCATTTCTGGTAGTAGGAAGTTTGCACATTGATTTTTTTCTTTAAAATTATTAATATACATAAAATTATCTGGGGATCTTTTAAAATGCAGATTTACATTTTGATGGTTTTCAGTGAGACTTTGGGGTGAAATTCTGCACTGGTGACAACTTTGCCTGTGACGATGATACCCTTGGACCATACTTGAAGTAGTTTTAAAAATGCTGTAAGGGTGAAGCTCAACTTGAAATGTTGTCTGCAAAGCAAATTTCTTGTAAACACACAATTTTGTTTTAATTTTTATTATTAGATTATATAAACATTTTTATGGCCCTTCAAAAGATGCAGTCCTTATCAGAAGGTGTTTTTGAAGAAAGAGAAACTTTTCTGATTGAATAGTAATATGACTAAAATCTTAGAATATGAGCTGCCCATTGGGAACAGAGCTTGGTTCATGGAATTTGATTTCAGAAAATGGAATTTCTTAGTTACTTAACCTTTCACTCCATTGAGAGCTTCATTTTGTTCTCAAAGATAAAGGGAAACCAAAAAGGGAGAGGGGAGAGAAGAGAAAGGAATAAAAAAGAAAAGAACTGTAGTATGTATATTTGACCACTCTCCAAGATAATTATAAACTGCATGAATTGCAAACGTATTAATATAGTAAGAAGTTATATAAAAGTGGTAAATTTGTCCTTTTGAAACTTCAAATATGTAGCCACTAAGCCTAAATGGGTGTATTTTATATCTCTTAATTGTTTGTTTACTAGTCTGATTTAGACTCTTAATAGCTGTTAACATATTTACTTAGTATTATTTGTACATTTTTTATGGTGAGGACTGGATTATCTTTTTCTGCAGCAGGACTTCAGGTACCACTGGAGGATGGTTGTCATCATTAATTATCTTTTACAAGTATGAATATACTGATAGTGAGCTGTTTTAAATAGAGGCCTCTAAACTCTCAGCAGGAACAGTTCTATCTGGAGCTGGGTGGGGCCCCTGTGTAGCTGGGTTTGGGGTATGCCATAAAGATCTCAATGATCTCCTCCAGACCTCTGCCACAGTGTCCTAATTTTTTATCTCAGGTGTGGGCACATTTAATGGAAGCCATTTTATAAAAAGTAGTTGTGCCCAGACCTGGGGGATGACAGAGATTTGTGGGAGCTCTTTTTCAT